TTGTTTTTGGTTGACATAGCAGAGAATCATGTTTTCAAGATACAAATCAGGGCCACTGTCCAGGGCCAACCTGGAACTTACAGCTAGGAGCTTCAAAGAACAGACTGATTTCGCCTTTGGAAAGGAGGGTTCCTAAATACTTCTTCTCTGAGGCACTGCTATAAACCTTTTGTCGTAGCTCCAGCTTTCTCTGGCTGCTTGCAATTTGGCAAGCGTGTGGGGTAGGTTGTCTGTAGCAATTAATCCCAGAACGCTCCCCCAAGAGTTTCTTCTACATTTTCCTTCTTAAATGGAAATTCAGCCGGCCAAGCTGGTTCTGAGTTCAAAGTCCCCTGAAGTGCTTTGAACATCAAGCCACAGAGAAATGGCAAGAGGCTGAAGTGGAGACCTCGTGGCTCACCCTGGAATTTTTTGGAAAGGAAGATTGGAAGGAGGTAAACAGATGTGAAGAGAAATATCAAAAAAAGGTAACAGCCTGACAGCAACATTTTATTTTCGATAGGAAAGGATATGCTAACTAAAGTGAAAATGTGCTCACTTATTGTATTAGGAGGTGTGAGGAAGTACACAACTTTATAAAGGGGTTAAATTATAATTTTCCTCTATAGCGAATGGCTGGAGAAATCACATTTCTGTTTACAGAAGTTGATTCTCTTGCCAGCAGCGCACAAATCTCCACACAACACATATTTTTTTTCCTTTTATAGCAAACTGCTTTGTCACCAAGAAGTGACTTCCTCTTAGTTCTTCCTTCAAGCCTGTTTATTCTGCAGTGAGTGCAGCTCCTGCACCTTTCGCAACCCGGTCAGGTGCTGGCACCACCACTATGGAGAGGGAGCAAATGTCAACAGCCTGGAAAAGCACCTGGCTGGGCATCATGCACTGAGGTCTCTGCAGCCTGGCTATCAGGAGAAAATTTAGTGTAATTTGAGCCTGTGCGAATTGCAATCATTACAGGTAGACAAATCCTTCAAATCTCTCATCCTTTTATCTTTTTTTCAGCCTCAGGCTTGTAATGCTGAGAAACCTTTAGTGCAAATTGCTTATCTGTGACCATCTGGCCCCAAAAGATGAGTCAAACATTAAACATAAATGCTTTGTGAATCTGTTTTATCCACCAAAAGCTACAGCTGCCCACAAAGAAAGTGCATTATGCACCTGGTCTGACTGATATTACTTATATAGGACAGTTTCTTCTAAATATTCATGTATTTATGACTTGTAACACAGATTATATTATCACCATTTACCATAAAAGCAATTGTCTTGTACTATCAATTTCTTTTGGAAACATCTCACTTCCTGCCTTCACCCTTTGGCCAGAACTTTAATTTTATATCATTAAGGCATTATGGTTCAAAATGTTAAATTACGTTGTTGCATATTAAGGTTTAGGCCTGGTGTTGGCAGCTCATTCAAAATGGTGTTGATGAACCTTAAGGCTAAGATGAAATCTGACAATTTTTGTTATCACCCTGAATGCCATTAGTTTAATAACATGTAGGCCTTTTAGTCATTATTATTAGTTTCTATGAATAAACGCCAACAGTGCAATACTGTTCTCTCCCCTCTTTTTGCTAATAGCGTAAATATAATGTGAAAGTGTTTTGAGAAATGTCTCTTTCCTTTAAAAGGCAGTTTTAAAAATGAAAATGGTACAGATTGTTGAGTAAAATTTGCATAATTAGGAAATTGCATTTAGCCTTGAAAAAAATCTGCTCACTTATCTTTTATTTCTCAGGTTTTCTCTCTAACCTAAGCAAATAAGAAATGAGTAAGGACTATTTTTATTCGGTAGTGAAAAGTGAAACTTTCTTATATGGCAAAAATACACCTATCTTCTCTCATGAATAATTTTAAAAGTCAAATTCCTTACAAGCATTCATTAACCTATGTAAATACACAGAACTGTAGTATTCAAAAGCACAGAGCAGGTGGACAATTCAGCACGTTAAGCCCACCTACAAGCACAGCTTGTTCTTTCTCTGTCATTTCCTCGCCTTCCCGCCACCCCGTTACATTTTGTGTACCTGCAAGTGTTTACTCGTCACCCATTCAGCGGTAGCCATGTCAGGAGATGTTCCCAGCACTGTCACCGTGGACGCTTGTTATGGAGCTGCAGGAGCTGATCTGCAGCGACTCCTCGGGTCAGAGCCATCACCCGACTGCGAGCAGCTGCGTAACTGTCAAGCGTTCCCTAACAATTTCTTTTCTTGAAGATTTTTCCACATAACTGAAGACTGTTATTGCTCTTATACTTAATTTACAGTCCTTTCCCCTCTGCTGAGCAACCGCACAACAGTATTTACGTATGTGGGAATGTACCTTCTGCAGCAGGGGAAGAGCAAACAGGACACGAGGAGGTTCCTCTCCTGTAAAGATCCCCTGCTGATTCAGTCCATCCAGCCATTGTGCTGGCTCCTTGAGGGACAGGATGACAACCTGCTTGGAATATTTCTATCTATGCTCTCCCCTGAGTGCCATTGGTGGCAACCTGGAGGCCGAATTTGCTCATTAGCCTCATAGGGTAGAGTCAGGATCACACTGCAGGACTTGGGGTACTGCCTGGTCAGGGAGTCCATCTGAAATGCCCAAGGGTAGCAGAGAGGGGAAGGACCTCCAGCACATGCTCTCCAGAGTTGGTATGGGTTACTCCCCAGATGCTCTCCCCACCCAAACCACAGTGGATTCCATGACTGTCATTAAGGCAATAATTTGCTTATTATCCACCTCATTAAAGACTGTGACCAGAGGACATCACCACCAACATAGGAAAGGTGCCCCCTGTGCCTAGAAAATGAGCAGCCCCTCACAAGGGCCCTCTGATAGACCGTCCAGGTCTTCTGCCCCTTGAAGAGACACAACAGCCACAGGCCAGAAGGGACATGGGCAGGAACAGAGTTGCCAGGTGGGACCTTCCTATGTGGAAACGCAGAGCTGTTTGGCCCACTGGCACTTCTACCTCCACATCCCCGAGGAGGGCCAGATGCCCTGCAGCAGCCCCTCCTCTGCTCTCCTGAAATGCCTCTGACACGAGGCCATGTCCTGCAGCTACACAAGCTGGCAGGGAAATACCAGAAGGTGTTGGGAGGGTTTAGACTCAGCCTTTCCTGGCTTGGCAGAAGCTTTTTGTGAAAAGGGAGGAGAAGACATCATTTATTTTTTAGAAGGCATGTTGTTGGTTTTATTTTGTTTTTATTTAAAGGACAATTTAAAAAGTGGTTGATACTGGGCTTGACTGTGGAAGGAGGTCCCTTTGGCAGGGTTCTGGTTTGCCTTGAACCTGGTACCACACCACATTTCTGGGATTATTCCAGATAAAATGAGAGGTGATGAGCCTCCAGAATATTCTTTTTGTCCAGAAGGTGACAAAGCAGATGAGAGTCTTTGAAATAAGATATAGCTAGCTGTAGGGTCCACGAGACCTGTACGGCACAGAGCAGTTAGTTAGACACAATGCTAATGCAGCAAGCCCTTGTCACATATCTGTGAAAATCCTTCGAACATGTATTTTAATTTTCAAATGTAGAGTAAAATTATCCACATAGAAAAGGGCCACGGTAACAGTTCTGGAAACTGTTGCCCTCAGTTTTTGCTGCAGATGTACAAAGGCAAACGCAAGCAACATACACTGTCCTTAATGCACAACATGAGTTTCCTTAACTTGAAACATTTGTCTAACCAGTTTACAACTGTGTGCTAAGTTCAATCTTCAGGTCCATTTATCTTTAGCCTTAAGGTGCCGACCATCTGTAATTCAGCATCCAGGTACCAGTGTGCAGGTACTTTTGGGTATATGGATAACAGTCTGTCAGGACAGAACTGAGAACAGCTGTTTTCACACAACATAGACTGCCAAGCAGTTTTGGACTTCCCATCCAATGATGAACGGCTCCTAAAATCTTTGCTATTGTTAGAAACAACCTACAAACTTGCAAAAGTACTTGATGAACTGAATGCAGAGTCCTGCATTATGAGACCTAGGTGACACCTGGTAGAACTGAGAGGGGATCAGTTCAACACAGATAAAAGTAACAGCCAGGCAGCAGTGAGCTTCAGGACCTCGCTGCCCTGGGTGTTGTGCAAGCTGACAGGGTCAGCTGGTTCAGAAGGGATTAGACCAATCCAGGGACAAGAGGTCCCTTCAAAGGTCCAGGCGGGGACACCCTCTGTGACATCTATCAAAGCAAATGCAGCAGTTGTGATGCCGAGGGAGAACCAGGAAAAGGGACTGCACAGACCAGCCAGGCTTCACATGCTCCTTGTCTGTCCTGTTGCACCTGGGTGGTAAAATACTGGTCTGAGCGAGGAGGGCTTTCCTTACAGTTTTATATTCTTTATCTAGAATGCTATTTTATTCCCAAAGCATCGTATGAATATTCAGTTATTAGTCTGACCTAGATTCATGTGAGCCGACTATTTAGCTCAAGCAACATAATAAAACAAGAGAGAGTTTCTTCATCCCTGCCTTTGGAGCAGGATATATGCCTGCTTTTTAGTCCTTTGGTGCCTCACTATAAAGCCTGTTCTGTTACATAGCTCATTGCCAATCTCCCAAGTCAACCACTTCCTCCTTGCTGTCTATTGTGCTAATATCTATCATAATATCCTACATTACAGACATTCATATTACAGTGCAAAACTCTAAAGCAACCAAATGAACAAATCTTGTATGGGGTATAGAATAAGATGGAGATAGTGAAAATTAAATGCTAATGAAATCATGTACGAGGGGTAACACGAGAACATCCCTAAAATTTGAAATAAATATTCAGGATTAGTCATGCTAGTTGCTTCATAATGTAGCTTTTATGGCAATTTCAAACTCTTTGGATTTTGGAGACTGTCACTTC